GAGTTTGGGCCTTTGGGATGGCTAATCCTGCGATCAGAGGATCAGAGGTCCCTTTCATCTTCCTAGAAATTCTACGAAGATCGAAGGGACCTCTGCTCGCTGTGCCAGAAGGGAAAATAAACAACGAAAATGAAAATCTCCGGGATGCACACGTGACTTTATCTCAAGAAAAATAATATAATATATTAACAAGTCTGACCTGTGTTCCACAATATTTGACTTTGGTATCGTTTTCCACAATGCAGCAAGTTCACCGGGAGACTTATCATCCTGTAACTCAGTCGACATCACCAAGAACTTATCCCTTATAACACTAGCAGCATGACCTGCAATAAAACCACAACATTCTTTTATGCTACTCGCACTTCACTGACCAACTAACGATGACATCAACCTGTCCTTCGTCAAGGAATGAAGAGAGAGGAGAGGCAAGCGCTACATAACTTCAAGCCCTGTAATCTTTTTCCCCTAAATTACCATCAGCGACCACCTAGGACTCTATCATTCAGCTACTTTCTGATTTCTCATAAAAAATACACAAACTTTATGGTCCACCTATGTTGAGCAACCTCTAGAAAAACACTTTCGAACTTCACCTGGCTGCAAAAATACACTGACGTCCGTAGAGGAGTTGGCAGGAATTACACCCGAGCTTGGTCGGACTCTGTAACTCTCTGGAGAGGTTGTCTTTACCTGGAAAATAAAGAATAAAAATTAACACAATATTAGCGAACAATATTGGTCCGTATTTTCCTCGGTCCTTATTTTCCTCGGTCCTTATTTTCCTCACTCTTTATTTTCCACAGTCCGCATTGTCCAAACTCCACATTGTCGACACTCTCTTTTTCCACACTCCTCGTTTTCCACACTCCTCGTTTTCCACACTCCTCATTTTCCTGACTCCGCACTCCACCGTTTGAACACAACCTATCTAAAATATTTTTTCATTCGAGTTAGGCTTGAGTTCCGCCCTTTTCTCGGATCTGGTGCTCCATTTTCGGGGGAGAAGAGAGGGCTCATTCAGGCTAGAGGGACAAGCTTATTGTCGTTCATAGTTACAATGGAAATCTTTTCTGCTTTTATTTTGCGCCCAAAAAACTTCTCACGACCTATGGGCAATCACGACAGCAAACGACAAGTTATTAAAATATAAAACTGCTGACCTTGAAAGCGACTGTTGACAGGGTGTTGTTTGAGAGTGACAAAGATTGAAGAATTTCTCCAGTCGAAGTTGTTCCAGTGAAAACTAATTCCTCCGCTGGCCTACAAAAACAAGAATCAATCAGAATTATGTGCTACAATCACCATTATAACATAACCAAAGTTAAGCGCGCGCTCTGATTGGTCAATTTAGCGTCCCCCATTTGCCCATGGGTGTACGCTGCTGACGTGAGCAAATGCAAAGACTATTTTTCCGCGCGCGCTTGTTTTTTCTGGTCGCGTAAGATTTGTTAAATAAAAGGGAACTCTTTAGCTACAATGTATCAATGTTATGTTATAAAACAAATGGTAAACACCACAGCGTACACTATTGAGTTATGGATGCACTTGGGAGGTTTGCTAAGCACTCAAGAAGCTAGAGTCGCTCTCGGCTATCGCCTCGAGCGACTCTTACGCTTCTTTCGTGCTTAGCAACCTCCCGCGTGCATCCATAAAAACTTAGTAAATTCATCAAAACGAAGAACTTAGAAATTCCTAGGTACACAGCACAGATGCAAAGATTGAGAGAGCCTGGAAAAGACTGCCTCACAACAACATGGAATCTGAAAGTTCATTAAACAATACTAACGTAATCGTGAGTAGATTTTTTGTACTAATAAAGCCGTCCGGAGGTGCTCGTCTCTGCGACGATCTTGAATTTACAGCCCGAAATGTAAGCTTTGTTGAACCATTCCTCTGCGCAAAAAAACAAATGAGTCTGTTATTGATCCAACCTGAGGTCAACACAGCTGGATATCAACCAAGATTACTTT